CTAAAGGAGGTTAGGCGGTGTTTGAGGTGAATTTGAGAGTGAATTTCTGTGGTTCCCGGTAGCTTAGTCGGTAAGAGTGCCCGGCGCGTATCTGGAAGACCCGGGTTCGATTCCCCCCTGATCTCTAGTCTGATCTCTAGTCCGATGCATTATCCACATGGCCATTCGGACAATTGTTCAAATATAGGATTTCATTTTGGTATAAGAAGTACTGGGCGTAGATTGTATTTGTTTTTCCGTTTCAACCATTAAATACTGTTTTTTTGTATTACAATATATCTATGAATCAAAAACTATTTAATTCATTTTTTTCAACGAAATTTGGGAAGCCTCTCTTGCCAAGGGTTGTCGCAAGCCTCGTCCAGCCTTAGCTGTGTTGGTTTGACGGGAGGTCACGGTAATGCCTATTGACTGGATAGAGAGACTTTTCTTCTTTGATAAATATGAAATTATTGACCAGGAAGGTAACATTTGGTTGGAAGATAATCTTGGATGAGCCTTGAGTGAGTCTTTCCGTATTCAGCCTCAATACTCCAAGCCTGAACTAAGCCTGAATTAAGGCTCCCCAAAAATCCCAATGCTAAGATCAAGCCTGCTCCAGGCTTGTGTCACTGAGCCTCGCCAAACCAAGGCTCGCACAAGCTTGTTCCCATCTAATTCCCAACTGGGATGTTCCGTTCCTGTTCTCTTAAAATCATTTATTTTGGAGGTAATGAATAATAATTGAGAGATTATAATAATACTAACAAACTTCCTTTAGCAAATCACATTAATTGGTGAATCATCTCTATGTTTAAATTTAGGAAAAATTTCTGTCAACTTTACATTAAACGCTATAATAATTCCTCATTATAAATTCGATTCAGGGCTTTGTCTTGAGAAACAAATGCCGCCTGGGAAATCCAAATACAAAATTGCTGAGTGGCACGATCAAATAATCAAGTGTTTCGAAACCGCTGGTGACTTAACACTGGTCTATTTGCAAGAGCAAGATAAGATGACAATTCAAATGCAGAATGGCACATCGACTATAAGTAGTACTAATAACATTGGTAAGTGAAAACAATCAAAGAAACTTTTCCTATCTTCTTTTCATCTTTAAATTTCCATATAATCAACTAACTAAACCCGTTAAGCTCTTTAACATCATGACTACACAACCTGACTGAAATCAGTCGTCATGTCCGGAGACGCTATTCAGCGTTGGAAAGTAAGCCTGAAATTATTCTTTGTAATTTTAATGGAAATCATCAATAGAAGATTTATAGAGTTTAATATCCTATATCTTTTATTTTTCAAATAAGAAGGACAATGCTAATTTCTTCCGACTTACCGTTGCTCGTTGAGAAGAGTTTTAATTTTCACGGGAGATAGTGGAAAATCATTTTTACGGGTTTTTAAAGGAGAAACTGCGTAAAATAATTTGTCTTTTCCTCGAAATGAAAAGATTTTCTTTCGATTTACTTTATGAATAAAATCCCAAAATCATGCAAAATCGCGAAGCGTTCCACATTTTTACATTAAAGTTTGTTTGTTCGGTTTTCCACCGAATTATTTATTCCACACACACACTAACAGACACGCATGCACTCACACTAGCTTCGCTCGCATGTACGCATGGCCTTCGCACAACTGACCTGCGCAACCGCCTCAAATGACCAGTGGCCTCTGGTCATTTAAATACGTTATCTAAATACGTGAAACAAAGAAAGATATCTTAAAATTGGGAAATGAATCCAGATGAATTTTCAACAAAGAATGAAAAAAATTGATGAAAAACTAGAAAGAAAATGGTCTTCAAATAGTGAGATCTATCCAGTGCAAACATTTTTGAAAATCGAGGTCCTTCTGATGATTTGGAGATTGACGGAATGCGATGTGTTATTTCAAATTGCTTCTTTTCTTCCGGAAAAATTGTTTCATCCTATCTACCATTGAATTCCGTTTAAGAATTTTTATGTCGCGCCGTGCAATAACTCGAGTTTATCGCACGCTGCGCTTCGCGCAGCCTGCTCAAAACTCGACTTCTGCACGACTTGACATAAAATATTATAGAGTACTCGGTAATAAATTTCATTTTCAACGAATGTGTGTACAGACCTCGCCTTCGGCTCGGCCTGTAAACTATACATTCGTTGAAAACGAAATTTGTGCCCTTGTACTCTAATGTACTATTATATTTGGGACTCATGTTCAAACGTGCACTTAGTGCTACGGCACTATTCGCGCGCTCACTACTCATCCCCTTGCACGTCGAACGTTAGACCCCCATAGGTAGTGGGGATAAGATTGCGAGTCAGAGGGATCAGAAAGCTGTGTGAAGTTGGCACCCGACTTTGACGAATTGTAACAAAAATTTGGTATCTGATAGATTTTGACCTACACGTGATTGTAGTTCAATTTTTTTTTTGTTTGTAGTTGAAAAATAAGCATCTAATCCATTTTTGAAAGACAGGAACTATTTTACAGTAACAGCTTCAATGACATTGGATTGTGATTTGCGATTGTTTGTAGCTAATTGTAGTACTAAAATTTTTTCAATCCGAATTCAAATAAGTTCCATCGATTTTTGAACGCCAAGTTGGAATTGATTGATAGCCGCGGACAAAATGACATTGGATTCCTATCTACACTCGTTTGTAGTTAGTTGATTGTAGTAATTTAATATTTCCATTTCAATTAAAAACAAGTACGGAATTGATTTTATGAAATGGTTTCGAACAATCAATTTGCATCGAGGACCTAAAAGAGATCAGATACTTTTAAGAATTCGTTTGTAGTTGTTTGTAGTGACGAACAAAATTGGAAAAAATCAAATAAAACAAAGCGGAATATTAAATTTATTAATGAAGGAAATTGGAAAACGCTCATGTCATCGTAGGACGAAAAAAATATTAGTTACTTATTGAAAAGATCAAATGTTCAATGCCGTTCGTCAGTAGTTTTTTGTAGTGTCACAAGAATTCATAAAAAAAATATATATTATATCCTATTCATTATCAAAAGACGATAAGGAGTTTTTCTACAGTTACATCTCCAATGACATTGGATTCTTATCTGCCATCGTTTGTAGTTGATTGTAGTATTCAAATTTTTTTAATCCGAATTCAAATAAGCGTTTCAGCGATTTTTGAAAAACAATTAGGAACTATTTTACAGTTGCAGCTTCAATGACATGCGATTCTTATCTGCGATTGTTTGGAGTTGATTGTAGAATTGAAATTTATTCAATCCAAATTCAAATAAGCGTTCCAGTGATTTTTAAAAAACAATTAGAAACTATTTTATAGTTACAGTTTCATTGACATTGGATTCTTATCTGTGATCGTTTGTAGTTGATTGTAGAATTGAAATTTTTTCAATCCAAATTCAAATAAGCGTTCCATCGATTTTTGAATGCCAAGTTGGAATTGATTGATAGCCGCGGACAAAATGACATTGGATTCCTATCTTCAATCGTTTGTAGTTGATTGTAGTAATTGAATATTTCCACTTCAATTAAAAACAAGTACGGAATTGAATTCGTGAAATGGTTTCGAGCAATCAATTTGCATCGATGATGTTCGGTCGTACATGTAAATTAATAGTTAAGACGACCATTGAAATACTTTAGTTTCCTAAAAACTTTCCAGTTTTTCCCACGACACGATTTCGGTTTCCCCAAGTAACCGAAAGATGCAGTTTAATCTCTTCGAGTTGAGTTTACACACGTACAAGTCATAAAATCCCGAAATTTTGTATCTGGAAAACCCTTGTCAACTCATAGGCACAAAAAAATATTTTTCTCTCTAATTGTTACTGTGACATCCGTCAGAAAATTCATTTAAATTCATTTTCTTACGTCGTCATTCAATTATCTCAGTGATAGAAGCGACTTTTGAAACCCAAATTATCTTCTGTGACCGGGGAAAGTGACCCCCTCGATGTTTGGAATATTTCGGCTGCACACATCTGTGAACGATAAAAATGTTCCCAACGTCGAGTTTCTCCTAGATTAAGGAGATATCAGCTGTGCAATATCAGATGCACTGTAAACATTTGAGTCTAGTCTCGTCTCCTTAGTCATGCACTTTCCACGTGTGACCATAAATTTCAATAAACACTGAACTCTTGAACCGGAAAACNGAATTTCAATAAACACTGGACTCGAACCGGAAAACTGTTGATAACAAATTCTAAGCGTGGGTCCAAATTTTGTAATTCCCACGACAAATATTTGATATAAAAATAGAGTAACGATTTCGTTTCCCACATGGAGGAAATGACATATACATTGACGAACATGTGACACAAAAATAGTAAAATGCATCATACAACAGAATGATTCTTTTATGAATAATTTTCCATTTCGGATATTAATTAAACTATCATAATTGTTTAAGAAATATTATCAACGTGGAAAACCACAAAATAATTAAAGTTTAAACAATATTTTTATGTCATTGAATTATTATTGAATTACTATTAGATTACTATTTTTCTTCAATGAATTATAATTTATCATAAAATTTCATGAAATTTATCTGAATTGTTTCAAAAAAATTAAATAACAAAGATGTTAACGCTAAGTTGAAAATAAGAGATAAAAGAGAATTGTGGAGGGAATATATGGGCATTCCTAAAACAATTTTCATTGGTTGTTGGGGAATAGAAAAGACCGCCTACACCCCAAAAACATCTTCATGTAGAGAGATGGAGTTGATCTCGAAACAAGGAGATTTCAAACCACTGGAGTGGGAAATTTCGGCTAGAGTCATTTGTAATTGGTCCCCGAAATTTCCCTATGCATTCTGAGGACACACCCTCCTAGATAAACTATAAAGACTTGTGCGCGATAGCAGCACGACAGTTACAGTTCCGATTGCATTTTGTAATCATCGCTACAGTAGTAGTAGTAGCTCATATCTGAGAGTTAGTATACTCCAGTTTCTTTTGGACACGGTTCCAATTTTATTATCGACCTATTAAGGCGATATTTTGGGTTTTTCGCGACCTTTAATTTTCATATAGTCTTGGATGACTATTTAATTTCCGTTTTAGTCTTTCGTAACTAAATTATTTTCTGAAATCCCAAGTCTTGTGACATTTTTAATTATTTGATTCATTTAAATAAAGAATTTAATCCAACGTCTTAAATTCAGTGCGGCATTACTTTTAACCACATACAAAATACTTTACGACTGAAAGCAGAGCAGTGAATGTAAGTCGAATGTTGTAGTTATACTTTTCTACTTGTTTTGTTAAAATATAGACTCTATTGAGTCACTTTAAAGTTATTCAAAATTCTTTTCATTTTACTCCAAGTGAACCTTTCCAACCTTTGATTCCAAATACTTTTGGGGTTTAGAAAATTGAAGTAAAAGGGGACCTTTGTAAATGGGTTTTGTGCTTGAATTCTATTCCTTAATTTCGAGACGATCTTTGAATTTAATCTTGTTTCTTTGGTTCAGTATATTGAATTTTAATTTAATAAAGTTGTGTCAAGTAACCCATTCTTGACGTAACAAAATTGGGGGCTCGTCCTAAAAAAATATATTCTCAATCACCAAATTGGTAAAACTGTCAATTCATAAGAAAATTTTACAATTATTTCCAAAATTCAATTTTTTTTTTAATTCTCTCATTAATTTTTTTTTTCTGAAAGGAACACTTGGTAAAAATGAGTGCAAATGTCGGGGCAAGAACCGACTGAGGATGAATTGAATAGATTAATAACTTTAAGAAGTGGTAAAACTTTACCGGGTTTTTTTCAACCATCCCGACCTTATAAAAAATCAGATAAAACATTAGATTCTGGATTTGGTGAAACAAGTCAATCTCAACAAGAGACACTTGGTTTACAAAGCCTTTTAAGTAATATTTCTAGCGATGCGGATCAAAGTACTTCAGGAATAAATCCTTTGGAAGTATCGTCGTTTCGAAAACTAAATATATCTAAAGATAATACGGTTAATGAAACGTTAGAAACAGACGGTAATTTATCGGATGATAATGAATCATTAAATTTAAATATTTCTGCGGATCCTGAAGACGGTGTAGATAATTTACCCAA